ATTATCAATTAATGAAATATATTGTCTTCCTCATATGTTCTAATTTAAAAATAAATAGATTACCATAACAGTCGGGTTGCAGATGTTTTTAGTAGGAGCGTAATTTTTTTTGTATTATTTTCACATTAAGCTGTTAAGCCTCTCTACTTCATGTGATCTTGCAAATATATTTCTCCTCCAATAAAGCTAGGAAGGTAAGTCCACAACCAAACGCACCACTCTCACATAAATTCTTGAATTGTTTAAATATACGCGTATACTAATAGCAAATACAAAGGTGGAATAAGATCTTTTCTTGAAGATTTCAATATCGTATCAGAGTAAGTAACTTTAGATTTGGTTTTGAGCGTACGACCGAATTTTCGGTTTCAATAATGATTCACTTCGGTGGAAAAGTTTCCGATACCAACCCTATTTTTTTCCGACTAGTTTAATGCTGCAGCTAGCCTTTACAACTTCACCGAACGATAGGGACCGACTGTAGATAGCACTCCAAACCCTTACAGAGGACTTATAGAGCGGCTGAATACCAATTCTTGGCTGACGGATACGACTTTAGTCTGAGAACACCGCTAAGGCTAAGACCCTCATGATTTCCACCCACTGATTGAATGGTACTCTCAATCAATTCCTGGCAAATTTGCCATGTTGGTTATTTGAATTCGCAGTTTGTAAGCGTTCATTAAATAAATTACATTGTCATCGGCATTATGTGATTACGAATTAGTATTTCATTCAACAGCCCGATCGTATATTTCTGGACCGGTCGTTATGTATAATGGTGTTTAGCGTGACTATTCAAACGTATCTATATGTTTATTCTAGTTACTTAAGGAGATGTCCTGAATTAAAATGTTAAAAATAATCTCTTTTTGATTAAAAAATATTAAAAATGAGGATTGCAGACGTAGTAGAAGGATCAGGACATGGATCGAGAATATATGATTAGCCAATTGTCTATACATGATATTTTTCTGCTTTATATTTTCGCAATTTTCCAAATTTGCGTGTACCAGAGAAGAAAAATATGTAATTTGATATTTTATTTTTTATATCTAGGAATTGCGAGATCGATCATTACCACAGATTAAAGACTGTAGCGACAAAACACACATGAAATAGACTTATAAAACTTTATAACTATTCCTTGAAGAAAAAAAAAACAAAAAATAAAACAGCTGTTTTGAACACTTTAATTCAGGACAGCCCCTTATTGTTGCTGAAGGCATTTACTGGTAGATTAGGGACACTGGCGACGTGGGCACTCAGCATGTCGCCCTATTAATAACAGAATGCAATAACTCATAAAATCTTCACGGTAAAATCAGCTTTAAAACGTAAAAATTTAAAGTCGATTTTGCAATATTTAATTTCTGAGTTAATGCATTATTAATCGAGCGATGTGTCGAGTCACAGCGGCGTCGCACGAGCGACAAATTTTCACAGTCTTATATATATATATATTAAAATCATTTGTTTGCTTGTTATATTAAGCGCTACCATACCGTTCATGCCGTTTCTATAAAAGTTTCTCAACTTATTGCTCTCACTTGCCAGGTATTAGTCACAATATAACTTACAATAGTATTGAGTGCGGACTAACATTGACGTCACCTGTACATATATATTTATATTAAAAATGTACCTTATCGCTGTCTGTATATAGAAGATGTCCCTACATCGTCCATTAATTTGTATCATTGCAAAAAAACTACTGTGTGTTATCTCAAAAGAGAAGAGGGGAGGAAGGGCATTTCTAGTAATGTGGACTGTTTATCCCATTGCTAGCATGACAGTTCAACTTCTGAACGTGGCCCGTCCTGGAAACCATTGAGGTTAATTCCAGTTGAATTGGCCACGATGGGTTAACTCACCATGCTCGACTGGTGTCCGCCAACAAAAACCGTTATCATTATCACGATTACAAATAAAGATACCAGAAAGTGGTCTAATCGTTTTGGACGCGTTTTTCATTTATGTATTGTGATAGGATTTACTTAAAATTTAGGGTTTGATTTATTGTGTATGTTATATCAGAATTAAGAGATCAGAGATAAGAATATCGTGATATGTTGGGATTGTTAGATTGTTAGCATTGTGGCTTTCAGCCACAAATTTACACTAACAAACTTGCCTATGTCCCCTTCCTATCATTAATTGGCGGCTCCGCCTTTGATGGAGGCCGGACCATATGACGTCAATGTTTTCCCACTATTTCTTTTTATTGTAACTGAAATAGCAATCAACTGACGGCCCATCTGATAAGTGATAGCCGTCGCCTATATACACGAATGGCACGACGGATATCACGTTATCACGTGACACCCGTGGTGCCACTCATGCGTTACCATTCTGGAGTACTAAGGTATCACCGCACCTTTAATAATAACAAATGAACATGCTTTTGTTTGTCATATTTATGTATAATTTGACAACTGGCAATATCTCTGACTCTATAAATGTATATTACTGTGAAACAAGACTATCTACTTCCGTTGTCATATTATTTTGCTGTTTAAATGATGAGATATATTAGTGAAACTAAAAGGTATAGATATTATACCTTAGTCCTCGTGAATGGCTACACGTGGGATCACCAGGAGAATTGGAGATGTTGTACAGACCTATTTCCTTCATTTAACAATTTATAAAACTCTTTCCAACATATTACGTAAGTACGTACATTTCTATTATAATAAGCTTTATTGACCTTTAAGTATTACTTTAAATTGTAATATCATTCCTCAATTATAAGTTACTACACAAATAAAATCTAGCGTGCTTTTGTATCTTATATCCTTTCTTTTGTTGCTTTTTCTACCACACACGTTTACACGTAGGCAGAAATATAAAAAGGTTGCCATCTTAAAATAAAATACTACTCTAACAGAACGGTAAGGCACTAGTTGACTGATGTATGAGTGAAGGCTTCATTCATATACGAGTATGCGTAATGCCCACGTCATTTTAGTACCGTCGTCGAGGCGGCGTTTACAAAAGTATCAAGCAATCATAATAGGGGAGATAAGCGCTAAGGGATTTATCAAAAATAACTGGAAATCTAGATAACTACACAACTCCGAAATAATATAGGCAAGAAATTCATTACAGCAATGGCTCGCGGCAAACGGGCGGGTACAACGCGGATTATTGTAAGTCTTCATTTCAACTTATAAACTATGTAATAACGACTAAAAGAATTCAGATATTTTTGTTAGAATGCCCCATTAATAGGAATGATGTTAATAATACATTTTCCATGTATATATTAGAATATCTTATATATTAGACGAGTAATTTTATTTTGAGTACATTTCATAATATATAAATTTTTCATAAAATACAAACATTTTTTTTGAAAATTAAAAATTCCTAGTTTGATAGTATATATTATGAAATATATTGTAAGTCCTTTAAATATTTATAATCATAAGTTATGTGTCTCTCGTGAATCTCAGAGAAGATAGGTGGAATATTATAGTTATTTAATAAAGAATATATTTAGGAGTTTATTTAGAAAGCAGTTTAATATATTAAAATATTTAATTCATTATACATTATTATCTGAATATGATATGAATGAGATTAAACATTAAATTTTACAGTAAACCATGTTAGTTTAGCATTCCAACTGCCGCGTTCAAAACGCCCGTGTGCCGCGGCCGAACACAATTCAGTCTAAAAAACCATGCAAGCTCTCTTAACACTAACGAATCGTATTTTATGTTTATGTTTAATGGCGTGTTCTAAAATCTTTTAATTTCGTGTTTCGAGTTCCCTAAGTTCCATTTTTTTTTATTTTTGTTTTTTTTTTTAATAGTCGTCGAGGTCCACGTCGTCGAGAGGTTCGTCGAGCTGTAGAGATTGGAAATCCACTTTGTACCGCAGTATGCCTAATTAATGTATAAAGTTACATCGTTTATTGTGTATCCAACGTTGTCCAAGCAGCAGGAAAAGAAGAGAATATACATATAAGTAAAGCATTTAGTAAAGCGACAAGTAAATATATTATTAATACATTAATAAAATAGAAAGTTCGCAATTAGTGTTGCCATCAACAAATAGGTATTATAACATCCAAGACAAGTGTTGAGGCAAGTAATTTAGAAGTGGAAGGTTTAGTTTTCATACAAACTACGTATTTTCTGTACCAAGTCTACATATCAAACACAAACTTTATTATAATAATAATAATATAATAATATCTCAGGGCAATTCACACAGCGCCATCTAGTCCCAAGCTAAGCAGAGCTTGTGTTATGGGTACTAGACAACTGATATAAATACATGGATACATTTATTTTTGTTATAAATACATATTATATATAGAAAACACCTATACCGATACAAACAATCATACTCATGAATACAAATGTTTGTACCGTGCGAGGAATCGAACCCGCGACGATCGGATAGTAAAGCGACCACCGAGGCTGTCTATTAAAGAACTCGAAAGTTCTTGTTTGAAATGTGGATATTATTTTAAAATGTGACTAACACTTGTTATGTTTTCTTAAACCCCTTCCTAAACCTTAATGTGTTATATCATTTATTTTAATTAATGTGTTGTGTAACAATTGTTTAATTAATGCTATCATTGGCTTTCAGTTTGGTACACCATTAAAGACTAACCTGTTCTTAACAATTACACTAACATAATAATCCTTAAAATTATTAGACCTACAATTAGACACACTGGCAGTCTTATATATTGGTTTATATATATATAAAGTAGAAGTTACATATATAACGTAACAATATATACATTTGTTTTATACACCTGTGTCATTGCACTGTGCTGTATTAAACGCCTACAGGTATACACAAGTTGTGTTTCACTAGAATTCTTGTCCCTGATAGGTCTAGATAGGGAACTCTGAAAAAGAGCGAACACAATAGATCTATATAGGTCGGAGTGCTACAGGTTCAAGCACCTGACAAGAGCCCAAATAGCCTAATAAAAAAAAAAAAAAAAAAAAAGAACACTTGTGTGTAATTACCGCCAATGCCACCAAACCCGCGCACGAACTGACTCCCCGCCTGGCTCTTGTCGGTGATGATCTCGAGGGTGGCGCCGAAGGACTTGTAGTTGTTTGCGAGCCACTCCAGCAGCGGCTGACACTCCACCAACTCCAGTTCTACCCCGCTCTGTAATATTTTTTTAGTTTTTAGAAGTAGCTGAGTGTCGGCCGATGAGGAATTTATATAAATAAACTAGCTGACCCGCGCGACTTCGTCTGCATCACACTTATCATTATATATCGCCCAATTTACATAATATCTTTTTAAATTATAGCCTATGTGTTATTCTGATGTAGAAACTTTCATCCACTATTTTATATTACCCCCTTAAGGGTAATATTTTTACTAACTTTGAATATCAATCATATTTATTCATATTCAATTAACAGCCTCAAAAATAAGTTTCAACCTTTTGCTTCAAAAATGACGATTCTTCCTTACAATCTTTCATTCCCACTTTTAACCTCTTACAACCCTTTTTTCGCATTAAAAAGTAGACTAATCCTTTCTCAGAGTCTAGATATCTTTACCAAATTTCATTTAAATCGTTTCAGTAGTTTTGATGTGAAAGCGAGACAGACAGACAGAGTTACTTTCGCATTTATAATATTAGGATAAAAAACATAGAGAATGAACACAGCGACTTCTAGTCCCACAGTAAGCAGAGCCTATGTTATGGGTACTAGACAACTGATATAGGCACTTAGATTTTTTGCTGTAAATACATACATAGAAAACACTCATACCGATACAAATGATCATTCTCATAATACGAATGTTTGCACCATGCGAGTAATCGAACCAGCGACCGTCGGAAATAAAGCGGTTAAATATAACATATATATAAGTATTGTAATGTAATTCTATGTCATTGATGTTGTTGTATGTATCATTATTAATATGTATATGTGTGTTTATATATACGTATGTGCATACACTACCTTTAAGAGGATAATGGTATCTGAGATACACGATTGTCCTAGTTTAAACACTACTGCATTGTGTTAAATAATATTTAAGAACTTAGTTAAATCCATTTTTGTAACTGTTTTTTGCACAATAAACTTATTATTATTAATATACAATGTAAGTGTATACATTCTAAACATATAATAAATTCTTTCTGCTGCTAGATAAACAGTATAAGTATGATCATATAACATTGCGTTGCATAGCCCACCTACTGCATTTCACTGCCCCACAGTTATGTAATTAATATAACATATCTTGTAAATTGTCTATTACATTAAAGACCCCTCTATCTATAAGATCCAATGACCCCGGAGTTTCATTCCTGAAACTATATACAACACCCAGGTAGTGGTAATGATCTATAACTGCCCTTGTCTTTGGACGGTAAAAAAGACATCCAATATTTGGTGCAACCATAGTGCCTACCTCTTTGTCCGTGAAGTGGGATTTGTCCTTCTCTTGCTGGGGGGTCAAATGCAAGATGGTCTCCTGGTTGGTGGCATGTGATTTCAGTACATATCTGTAATATTTAATAAAATCAGATTAAAAAAAATAACATCTCAACAGCTTTTACTGAAGATGGAATTTCTACAAGCTAGTCTGCGTGGGTACCTCCTCATCTACTTCTTCGTTATGCCATTCATTTATGGTCGTCGTAATATGATTTTTTCTTCCATTCATCCATTTCCAGTTAGTAACTCGTCCACTCAACATGGAGTCGTAACGTGGACTGACTGTACATAGAATTTAAATCTATATTGTGTGGAGACGTAAACAAATGGAAGGGCGCTGATTGCTGACAGAAATACTAGATACAAGTGTTAAAAATTAAATGGAAATTATTCTCCTCACAGAAAAAAAAACACACTATGTACAAATATATAAATATGCATAAATATACAACAATGGGCGACCTTTTTCTTCCACATGATGGTCTACATCGAGGTCGTCAAAAATAAATTAACGTAGCTGATTAAACAAAGTAATTCTAGTTCAGTAGCAATTGTATGAATGGTGATGTGCTGACAGGGGCGGTGGTGAGGGTAAACACACACAGTACGATGTAACTTGTATATTAACTGTTACATCTTGAATTTCTCTAGCTTACACTAATTACATAAACTATATATATTAACAACTGCGTGACATACGTGTCGTTAAATAAAACGTACACTGGCACAATCTTCTATTAAACGTGTTGATTTCCACGTACTATATCACAACAAGTTGCAGGACACCTGTTGTCAAGTCCCAACAGGTGTGCAGTACAGTAGCCAATACATGGTTAGTCATATAATACAGTAATGCTCATAATAACACGGTACTCTTATAACGCATTTTCATATTACGCGGATTTCAATCCCCCATATAGCGCTAGGATTTCATAGATTATATTTCTGTACAGTGAAATTTATAATTATTTGTTTTGTACAGTTCATAATTTGTTTTTTTAGTTCATGATTTATTTAGAATGTTCATAGTTCAATTTTGTTAGTTATTTTAATAAAATGTACATATTTCGATCTTAATATAGTTTATTCTAAATATTAGATTTAAACCATCTTTACCCAGAAAAATAAATGTGATAATTTCGTAACGCGTTATATGAGGTCGTAAAAACGCGTTCTACGGGAATACTCCTACAACGCGTTTTCCTATAAAGCGAAACCAATATATCGTGTTATAAAATAAATTCATTGTGGCGCCCATTATATCTATTGTCATGTTTAAAACTTGTTTTACGCAATATATGCACTCTTATAAGAGTGTAATTATTGTATATAAGATATTTCCATATACACAATCACAATATCTAATCTGGAGTCTAAACTCTCATCTGCCCTATCCCCTCCTAATAATAGTATTTATATGCCTTATACTTATTATGCATAAACATTAAACTCTTTTAAACCACGTTGTACCTAGATGGATCATGCCAGTTAGAGGATTACATCAGAATTCTACTCTAGCATAAAATAAAGACAATAGCGTCACCTCTGAATGTCAAGGTTCTCCCAGCAGATCAGAGTCTCGACCGCGCCCAGCTCCAGCGCGCGGAGTGTGTCGTCCACGCCAAAACAATACTTGCCCGTGTCCTGTGTAAGGAATGAATTCCTTTTATTACTCTTAAACATCGATTTTTTATGTGACTGGAATGACTTATAAATAGATGGTACCACTTCCTAAAGTGCTAGAGCAGAAGGCACTTCGCACCCACAAGATAACTTATAGAGCCACTCAAGTACTATGAAGCCAATTCCTGCTTGATGGATACGACTTTAGTCTGAGGGCATCACTAGCGGGTTTGAGACTCGGCTCAGGCCATCATAAACTTCTTTATGAGAGGTAAACATATGCTTTGAGTATTTGCTCTTATAAGCAAATCTTTGAAAATATAATTCATTCATTACAGAATAAAAGATTCACATATGAAAAAGACTTAATGACTTATATATATATAAAACACCAGTAAGGTTTGACCATGGCCATTTCTTTTTGACTAAATCTGCATTTCAAATGTAGCAGCTATGCCCGCGGTTTCACTCGCCTGAAAGTTATAGCCTATGTGTTATTCTGATGTATAAACTATATTACAGTAAAGATTGATTAAAAGTCATTCAGTAGTTTTTGGTTAAGAATATGAAACATATGTCCATGCATCCATCCATACTCACAAACTTCCGCGTTTATAATATTACTAAAAAAGTGAAGTACCTGTGAAATCTCATCAAAGTATCGGCCAATCAGTTTCTTTTCTTGTATAAACTTAACATTCTGGAGTGACTCAGCCGCCAGTTCGATGGCTTGGTTGAAACCGTTCTCACCGCCGTACGACACGTCCACCAGCTTGATAATTTTCGCTTGCAGTCGCTGTAATAATAATAATAATAATAATCAGACGATATAAAGTAATAATAAATTTACTTTATTATTGATTTGTGCCTATACCAACAATATTTCTGTCAACACTCGGCACCCTTCCATTTGTTGACAAGTCCATTGAACTTAGATTTAAGTTCAGTGTAAAATCAGTCGACGTTACGCATTGAGTGTGCATTACTAATAAGCCATATAGCACACTATCAAATAAACTTATTGATTTAGTACAGTAATTTCATTTGTACTCACTACCTAGAGGGTACAGAAAAACAAATAAGTAGCGATCTTATCACATCACATATAACGCTATAGAAAGATGATAGCAATGTACACAGTCAGATAAACTGATCTCCATACAGTTGGCAACCATCGTGATAAATACATGATGAATTTATCAGGATAGCCTAACTAACCTAACCTTATGCTCATTCTATCATCCTCCACTGGTGCCCTTCCAGCTTAAACCGTTAGCGCAAACAAGTGCATTATTCTATAATCACCCATAAGAAAAATGTACAGGAGAACCAGGCAATAGTTTTATATATGCCGAAGTAAAACAGGGTTAATAACAAGTGGCATGTACCGGATCAAACATATCTGACTGGGACAGCTCAGTCTTGAAGTCGGCAGAACCAGCCAGGATGAGACCGGCCACGTTCGGTCTGTCTGCACTGATGAACAGCTGGGTGGCCACCTCAGCCACTTTACGCACGTAGTTGTGTCTCTTCTCCATACGAAGACGAGCGAAACGCAACGCCGACTGACCACCACGACCGTGCTTCTTTGGCAGATCCACTGTGAACTTGTGAAGCACCTGGAAACATTATTGTAGACATGTTAACTTTAAAGGTACTCACGTAAATTATAAATGAATGAAGAATGAAGCAAAAAGATTTTTCTTTTTTCGTAGGATAAGTTTGGCAAATAGGTTGGTAGACAAAGTTGGCAAAGCTGACGCGGAGAATTCTCAGCAGCCGAATTTACTAGCTCTAAATATATCTTAAGATTTAAATCAGCTAAATAGCAGCTAATCTTTATGTTCTCTCAGTTGAAGCGAAGGCAACAACCACTAACCATTCAGTGGGCCAATAACTTGTTTCCATTTCCATTATAAAAAAAAAAGATATGAACTCTACTAACCTCTCTAGTATTTCCTTGCAGCGTACCAAACAAGGCTCCATTACCATCCATCACAATGAACCCAAACTTGTTATCATCAGCCAACAATGCTGTCAGGGCCTCCGTGTGGAATTTGTTATCACAGAGATAGAGTGACGTGTTGATAGGCTTGAAGGGTTCGAAGTCTATGTTCACCTTCTTCTCTTTGCCTTCTTCGGTGACGATGGTACCACAGTAGATGACCAGGCCATTGGGAGGTACTATGTGGAAAGAATATTTAAGAAACTTATGTGACTTTGCAGTATACTACCTAGAATACTAGACTAAAAGGTCATGAGTTTAAATCAAAGTGGAAAAGGATTTTTTTTTCTAAACTTCACAAATTGGAGTACAATCTGTTATATTTATATAAGGCATATTGCTGGCAACAAGGCCTGCTATAACTAACAATTGATGGAGATATTCAGTGGATGTATAGCAGCAAATATAATTTATTCTGGTTTTCACCACAGTTGCATAACTGTTACTTAGCAACAGGAATAATAATTTTAAATGGGATGAATTATACTTTTTATTCCAAAATCAATGTGTAAAATAATTAAATTATTACTGCAACTCAGGTCTCAGACCAACCAACCTTTAGTATACAATTTCAACCGATGTTGTACAGATGTAATTGCACCGAGCACAGAAAGACGGTTCACACGGGACTTGATGTTTGATGCCGTACCAAACTCATCGGCCAACATTTTGGAGACACGTGAGATCTGATCCTTTGGCGGTATTATCAGGGATATCATTGATGTGCCATTCCTGGAATGTAAGAAAATTATTTAATTAAATATATACATATACTGTGATATAGGTACAAATGTTCATACTATGATTGAACCTGTATTAAATATGTTAGGTATACACTATTTAAATATATATACAAAAAACTTATGAAAAAATGTTGTGTAATAACCAAGCATACATACAATTGTATGGACTTCACTAGAGAGAGCACAATAGATCTATGTAGGTTGCAGTGCTACAGGTGCTACAAATATCTGATAATAGCCCAAACAACCCAATAAAAAAAATAGACTTCATTATTACTCTTCACCATGATTATTTAGTAGGCTGTGTAGACTAGCAATTGAACCAACTGCCTTACTTATTGTTATGGGTTTAGTCCTCTTATTGTACAGACATTTGTGTTGATGAGTATAAACTGTATTCGTCAGAATGCATTATATGTATTTAAAAAAGTATCTATGTATTTATACTAGTCATCTAGTACCCATAACACAAACTATGTTTTGCTTGGGACTAGATGGCACTGTGTGAATTGTCCTGAGATATTATATTTGTGTTAGGCTGAACTACACCATACATTGGACAGTGTAATAACCTTCTAATTTAAGTATGACTAACCATGATTCATTGGTTTTCAGGAGTAATTATTCATCGACTGCCTTATGTTATATTAGGTTTTAATCTAGACTTATAAAAGAATTCTTTTGTGCCAGAATACTGACATTTGTTTCTGCTTATCAGGTTTAGTCAGATAGGTCATTCTAAAGATAGTCATGGTATAAAGCATAGCAGACATATGCAGACCAAGGGTCTAAATAATGTTAAAGAGGCATTCTATGAAATTTTAACATTCCACAAAAATTAAAAATTCAAATTACGAATTGCCTTGATCCTCTTTTTCAAAAATGGAACATGGTAGAAATTGCCATTGCTAAATATTAACTATCTTTATTATTATAGTAAAATTATCTACAAAGTCAACAACAGAAGGTCGAAAACTGCGTGATTATTATAATTAGATACATTGTTTGTTTAATGTCCAAGAAAGGTCGACAGTGAACTACGTACGAAAATAATTATTCAATTTAGCACAGAATATCGATCTTCGTTTGTTTAGACGGGATGTTTAAATAATGTTTCGAGTATTTTATTAAATAATGAGCCTAACAAACTTGTACATTGTGTATTGCTTTGTACTGTCTGCCTGTCGCGTGTTGCAAAGTTGCAAAGGTTATACGCGCATGCAAGGCGGCGCATGTCGCACAGGACAATGACGCAGCCCCGTTGGCAACCGCATGACTTTACCACCACCTTGCAGCACGCGTCACATAAATATGTACAAAACTCACCCTCTAGCCATTTCCAAGCTTTTTATGAGCTTTTTGATCTTCCAAATTTCGACATTCCGATCTGCTGACGATTCCTCAGACATTTTGTTTGGGTTTTATTAACTAATATACCACCAAAATTGCAAATAATAACGAAATTAGAAGTAATTTTTACACACAATTAAATTCTAAATAAAAATAAACGAGGAAAAGGGAGCCCAACTCGCGGTTTGAACTGCTAAAAACCAGATCGAACCGGACGGACGAGACACCTCGCGACTATAGTTCACACACTTTCTAATTCACATTTACGTTCGCTATCACTCGAACTTTTCTTCTGGTGCGGGGATTCTTGGATTTCTTCTTAATTCGGTTACCCCTAAGCATGTGGGACACAGAAATCAGACATTACACGGATAAAAAAGATGACGTGACCAAACGATCGAACGAACGCTTGCCTCGTCGTCCGTCGGGAAAATGAAAGAAAAAAAAATATAGTGAAGCGAATGTAATCTTCCGATAGTCGACAAATCATTAACTAAAATAAAATTCAATTCGATTCAAAATCAGTGAAACATTTTCGTGACTTGTATCATTAAATTGAAAAAAAAACACAATTGTAATAGTCACTAATATAAGTCAACCATTATAAATACGTAATAATTGTTACGTGTTATCGAAATAAAAAATGTTAACATTATATTTATTTATTTTAGTATATCAAAATATATTTATTTTGACAATAGTAATAATGAAAAAAGAATGCTCTTGTCAATGAAAATAGTTCTAAATGATGAGCTATTGCTATATTAATAGATCTGTCTACTATATTAAAACATATGAGATTAGATACAAAGTCGCATCACTCTTTGTCACTTTCGATTTCTTACGATGATACCATTTACAAAAAACTAATTTGTTCAAAATATTAAAAATTAAATAAAATCATAAATTATTTCACTATTAGTGGACTTTCAAAAATCAACGCTGTGAAAAAACTTTCTTACACTACTGTAACTTATTCTGAGTGGGAATCACATTCAGCATTACAAATAGGTTTTAAGTTTAAAGATGAATATAGTACACATTTTTATATAATAAATTATTCAGTATGATATAATACTGAATAATTTATTTCATCATGATTATTACTCGCAGAAATAATAAATTAAATCAATATAATATTTCCAAGATTTGGTAAATTTCTATATGGCAATCTGATTTTGAAATGTCAATTTTATTTAAGGTTATTAATTTCGCAATCACGACTATAACAATCCAAACGAAATGTTATGTAGCAAATTTAAACAAATATTCTATAATAAGTCCAAGTTGAATGATAAAGTGCAATATTTTTTAATATCTTCGCGGTTATCGAAGCGATGTATGTTGTTAGATAGTTTATTGACAATATCTAAAGGTGAACGGAGTATGTCGTATTTTCGTCTCTCACTCAAAGATTTGCGTGTTACGAGACTGTGGAATGCTTGGCGGCGAAGTTGTTTTGTTAACGCTGTGGTCAAAAGATGTAGGAAGGATGTGAACGTACGGGAAATGATACAAACATTCAGGCATGCGATTCTGCGGCCGAGACGAACACTATTATTGTCGGCTACAGCTGCGTATAATAGTAATCGTTCTGAAGACAGTGAACCACAGTCTAACTGCGCAAAAAGTATTACCGACGAAGAACTAGAGGTATATATATATATATATGTTATTATTGTAAGTTGTTACCCATGACTTTGACTGGGTTTCTAGAGATAAAAGGTCACAACTCTGTCATGATACAAACAATCTTCATAGCAAATTTGTTTAATATTCCCTCGCTTGGTTAGTTGTATAAAGCTAACAAATATGTCGACAAACAGACTTTCACATTTATAACATTAGTCTGTAAATAATATAAGTATAATAGGTATACATTACACTACTATAAATCTAGAACATTTTATAAATTAGTAATTTTGAATTTTTGTAAATATTTTAACAATAATATTTACTGCACTGCTACTCTAAAATTCAAATTAATTTAGTGACTCATTTTTCTTTTGTTACATTAAATATAATAGTTTTAAAAAAGTTTATGAAGTTCCTTGATCAACTGTAATTAGTAAGTCATAAAAGATATGAACAGATCTAAAATATTACTGCAATCATAAAAACAAACTCCATCAAAACCAATGCATCCATATGTAATGGAGATATAATGTCATAGAGAAAAATAACATGGAGATTAGAAGATTAGAAATTGGAAAGCTTTTAATGGATATATATTTACATATAATATAGATAAGATAACAAAAACAAAAGCATTGACTTTATACAATATGTAAGGTTTTTATTCATTTGTAAGTATTGTTTGTTACATTAAATATATACAATAAAAAAGAGGATGCCAATTCAATTATTTGACAGGTAGCTGATGTAATAAGGAGCTACTTTTATTTTAAAATTTTATTTTATTTTAGAAAAGTAAAGTTAAATTCCACGCGGATGAAATCGCGGGAACAGCTAGTATGATAATATGATGTATGTTGTTGTAGTTCATGGAAATAGTTAGTACATATTTTCAGGTTGTTTGTCACTTGTTTGTCACTCTAATTACATGAAAAAAATTCATTTCCTGATTTAAAATATTTTTTTAGGCTGTATTATCAGAGTTGGATGGTATTGTCCAACTATCCAAGAGGACCCTGTTCTGTACAAGTTGTGGGAAACGATTGGTTGTTGACAGAAAACATCCTGGTGTTCAGTATTGTGTGTGAGTATACATATATATTTCTTAAAACTCATTTTATTGAAAAAAAAAATCATGGTATAAAGGCAAAGGTAATGCTAGAAGCATTTGTCAGTCTCAATGGTCTAGTGGTTTAGTACACTGCCTTACTATACGATGGTCATGGGTTCGATTCCTCACATGGTACACACATTTGTATTCATGAGTATGATTGTATCAGTCTCGGTATTTTCTATGTATAAAATGTATTTATTTAAAAAAATGTATCCATGTATTTATATCAGTTGTCTAGTACCCATAATACAAGCTCTGCTTAGCTTGGGACTAGATGACGTTGTGTGAATTATCCTGAGATATTATTATATTATAATTATTATAGATGATTGAGTTTTTAATAATAATTAGAATGGAAGGGAATAGATATTGCTGTGTATATTATCCATCCTTATTACAGAGCCACCTTAATATTTATTTATGGCCTTTATGTCTTTAGACAAGCTGATGTAGTGAGGCAGTGAAATAGAAATGCACTGCCTCACTACATCAGCTTGTCTAAAGACATAAAGGCCTCCTCCAATAGACTCCATGTGCCTCTGTCTAACGCTAACCTTAATGTAACAAGCCTCAATATAATGATTTAGTCTATTTAACAAGTACCTCGTAATACGTAATGAGCAATTCAAGAGCATATGCACAACATACACTGTGATAAGAGTTTACATTGCGAATTTCTTTCGAACAACCTCTTTATTTATAATGATTTTTAAACTATAAAAATAAGTGAAAAAACTTCTTAGTAACAAATGTTATCAATACAAAACCATTATATAAGGTTTCCACCAATAAATGACCCTTGATCCCATAGTATGTGACTATATCACGACATGTTCTAGTTTATAATAAAAAAAAATATACTTTGATTAAATTGTTTTCATTAGTGGAAGTTTTGCATACATAACAACAACACACAACTCTTAACGGTCTCGGTGATCTAGCGCGGTGTTTCCCCATTAGTGGTACGCGTACCCCCAGGGGTACGTGGAGTTGGATCAAGGGGTACGTGCGGCTATCAGTACAACAAACATACACACACACTCACAATTTCTCACATTTATAATATTAGTGTGATTGCTACAATAAGGGGTACGCAAGGTTTGAGGTTTTTTTTGAAGTGGTAGGCAGCAAAAACTAATTGGGATCCACTGGTCTAGCGGTTTAGCACACTGATTTACTTCTATTCGTCGCGGGTACGATTCCTCACAGTGCAAACATTTGTATTCATGAGCATGATTGTTTGTATCGGTCTGGGTGTATTCTATGTATATTATGTATGTATTTACAAAAATATGTCTAAGTATTTATATCAGTTGTCTAAATACGCATAACACAAGCTCTGCATACGGCGGGACTAGATGGCGCTGTGTTAATTGTTGAGGGTTATTTATTTATTTATAAGAAGATGAGTATGTAATGTTGGAGTGAATAATAATACAGTGCAACCTTCATATAACAAATCTTAGATCAACCTAACCTCAATATAAAAACCTTAGTTTAACAAATTACTTGATATTACGAATATTTACATGTTCCCTTCTGATTTGTCATATTGAGATTGCACTGTATTAATGTATGTGTTTTTTTCGGACTACTCTAATGCTGTTGACCGCAGCTGGCCTTCAACTAACGTTGCCAGCTTCATCTGACGTAAGGGCATCGGAGTGCAGACGGCACCCGCGGAAGGCCTTAGAAGCGGCTGAAGTCCAACTCCCGCCTGACGAATACGACTTTAGACTGAGGGCACTGTTAGAGGTTCGATCCTCCGCTCAGGCCGTCGTAATTTTAATCCCCGTTTGATTTATATGAGATTAGAGGGTGCACCCTCTGATCGATCCCTCGGAAGATTGATCGGAGAGGAAACTTTAAGCAAGACAAAATAAATAAAGTTCATAACAATAATTTAATCTCATCTTTATAGGTGTAAAGATGGTCCCCACCAGGACGTGTCGTCAGACGGATGGATGCCGTACATGGAAGTCGAGGATGTCATCATATGGCGTAAGGAGTACAAGCCAGGCCAGGGATTGTATGCGTACAAAGGTAATTCAAATATATTGAAAAATTTTAACTGACACACGACACCCATTCGAACGGGGATCGAAATTTGAACCCCCTAGAGGTGCAGTCAGTCAGGAGACAGGCAGAAGTTGGTCTTGAAGCGCTAAATAACTTCTGCGGTCGCCCTTACCTCCGATGAAGTTGTAAAGCAACGGCTACAAAACATTTGTATGAGTGTGAGTATGATTGTTTGTATTTGTCTGGGTGTTTTTTATGTATAATATATATTCACGAAAAAATATCTATGTATTTATATCAATTGTCTAGTACCCCTAACACAAACTTTAGCTAGCTTAACTTGGGTGTAGATATATATATATATATATATATATATAGCATCAATTGTCCTGAGATTATTAATATTGTTATATACTTATATTTTCATAAAAAAATTTGATTTCTATTCTCACCGCGACTATAAAGATTCCATTGTTAGAGTATGTTTGCCGTTGTAATATACATATGTACTATATATGGTCGCAAACATTGTGTTAATTCTGTTAATAATATAATTAGCCTTGAGTTGATAATTAACTTACTTAATATATAGGAAATACCTTCAAAACGTACGCTCATGTATGCAGAGGAATGGATAAAGATATTGACTATTT